TTTTCATTTGGTAAGGGAGGCAAAGGTGAAAGGTTCGTTATTCAAAGACCCTACCAAAATGAGTAGTCTCCCTTTGGGGTACAAATGTTGTGAGATTACTTGAAAGGACCAGTCCTTGTATAATAAGATGGATACCATTTTGGTTTTCGTGGGCGTGTTTTGGGTACTGGGGTGCGGATAAGCAGGAGGGGGTTAGCAAAAGTGTGTTTCTTGGAAACCCAGTAAAGCAGCTTGCAAACTGCAACACTATTCTTTTTTTTTATGATGACTATAAAGTCCATTTGCATTGATAGGGAAAATTGTAAAAAAGGAAGCCATGAGAGGGTCATGGGTGGAGTGATGGGAGAGCAGGATCCTGATGTAAATCTGTTACTTAGAAGGCCTCTTTGATGACGGAGGACCTTTTTAGGGAGTGGAAATTGAAATCAGGGATTTTATATGTTCACAAGAGCTACTACAAATTGGTTACACCACTTTATATCTGAGTGTGTAGTTTGTTTATTTTAATGTTGATCCGCTAAAGAACTGCTAAATCTAGAAATTGAGCAATAAAGTCTGAGTATTATAAACGTTTGTGCAGCTACACACCCATAACATGGAGAGCAACACAGAATTAAGCATTAAGTGCTAAACCCATACATAAGATACCAAGATTGTGTCGGCAGCCATAACGCCTTGTTCGAAAACGAGTGAACTCTGGTTGCAGGGAATGAGTCCTGGTGAAAGGTGAGAGGCAGTCGCTACATTGTACCATATTGAAACTACAAGTGGAGGCTGTGCATTGTCATTAGAAAGATTTTGGACTATGTGCCTTTTTCCATGTGGAATCAACTGTAGGTTTTGAGAATGTATTGGATGAAGTCAGTTTTCTGGCCCTCTGTGGGAATGAAACTGGTGTAAAGTGCCATTCCACCAAACCAGTAACTTCATGAGATATCCCTATGTATAGGAAATGTTGTGGATACGCATCAGTTGTGTGAAACTTACATTGTTTGCCCATTGAAGCCTCCGAGAGGTCAGAGGAGATGCTTGGAGGAGATGGCGGTGCCACATATCTGCAATCTTGCGGTGCATGCATACCTGCTCTTTTTTTGTTGTCTCTGTTTTTTTAGCATCTTCTGGTGGTGGTCAGGACCAGGGCCGGACTGGGAATGAAAAACAGCCCTGGAAAAAAATTCTATACCAGCCCCATAATGCATCGTGCCAGCATAGTGTATAGATATGAAAGCGGGAAAAAAAAAACTGAAAACTGAAAACTATCACTCAAACATGAAAGAAAGCACTCATAGGGCTTCAAAATAAACAAAAGAGAGGATTTATTGTAGGCAGACATGCATTTGCATGTAATCAGTGTTTCAGTCCATTTTCTTGATATATTAAGGAAAGTGTGGTCATTTGGACTGAAATTGTGAATGTATGCTATTGCACACAGTAAAAAAAAATGATCTTGTTTTTCTTTTTGAAGTAATAAGAGTAGGCTCTTCACTTTGGCAGACAACTGGATGATTTTAGTCAACGCCAATTCAATTCCCATAGGAAAGCATTGGGAGGCTATTGCGCATGTGTGGCAAAACGCTGCGCTTCACCGCACCAATCAGCATCTCCTCATAGAGATGCATTGCATCAATGCAGACTGTGCAGTACTGGACTAAGAAGCATCTCTAGTGGCCGTCTGAGTGACTGTCACTAGAGATGTGCCTAGGCAGCAATGTAGACACTGCCTTTTCTCTGAAAACGTAGCATTTACAGTGCTCAGCCTACAAGGACAGGTTATAGACACCAGTACCACTACATTAAACTGTAGAAGTTTTTCTCTCACCGGTCGACTCTGAGTTACAGGGAGAGCAGGAGACACAAGTGAAGATGCATTTTGTTTGTGTCTTTCTTCCCCCCTTTTATGTGTCTCTTAGCACAAGCCCCATTGTCTCTGTCTCCCTTTACCCGGCCCTTCTGTGAGTCTCTTTCCCAGGCTGCACGACCTCTATGTGTATCTTTCCCCACAGCTCCTCTGTGTCTCATTCTACCCTTTCCTAGCCCCTCTGTTTGTCTCTTGTTTGTCTTCCTCATCTCCTGTGTGCCTCCTGTTCCCCTTTCCCAACCCCTCTGTCTCTTTCTCCTCACACACCTCCGTGTGTCTTTTTACTCCCCAGCCCCTCCATGTGTCCCATTACCCCCAGCCCTCCATGTGTCTGATCCCACCTTCTCCAGTCTTCCATGTGTCTCAGTAACCCCCACATGTGTCCCATTAGCCCCTGCCTTCCATATGTCCCATTAGCCCCCTCCCAGCCCTCCATGTGTCCCTATACCCCCTCCCAGCCCTCCATGTGTCTCTATACCTTCCTCCCAGCCTTCCATGTGTCCCTATACTCCCTCCCAGCCCTCCATGTGTCTCTATACCCCCTCCCAGCCCTCCATGTGTCTCTATACCCCCTCCCAGCCCTCCATTTGTCCCTGTACCCCCCCTCCCAGCCCTCCATGTATCCCTATACTCCCTCCCATAGTCTCATAGTAAAGAAAAAGTAATTGTAATAAAATTCATAGTCATTCTATGCTATCAAAATTTTTTATTGAGGGTCTGTGATCTTAAGATCTCCAATATAAAAATCCTCCATGTGTCCCTATACCCCCCACCCAGCCCACCATGTGTCCTTATACCCCTTTCCAGCCCTCCATTAGTTCACCCCCAGCTCTCCCTGTGTCCCATTTGTCCCTCCCCAACTCCCAGGTGTCCCATTAGTTCCCCTCCCAGGTGTCCCATTAGTTCCCCCCTAGCCCCCGGGTGTTCCATTAGTCCCCCTCCAGCCCCCAGGTGTCCCATTAGTTCCCCCCAGCTCTCCCTGTACCTTGCTGTAGTGTGGCCGTCCAGGCAGACCTTGGTGGAGAAGCTCCTGCTCACTGTACCCGGTCTGACAGGAATCAGCCATGTACTCTCTGTGAGCACTTCCTGTCAGACCGGGTAGGGGAACAGGAGCTCATCTACTGCGGTCTGCCTGCTCGGCCACACTACATTCTGTGACCGGCAGGAGGGGAGCACATCACCTCCTGCCAGTCATCTAGGCGGCTGCGCACTGGCCCGCTAGTATGCCGGCCCACCGGGAAATTTCCCGGTTTCCCAGTGGGCCAGTCTGGCCCTAGTCAGGACCCATGGCTAGGTAGGTATGCAGGTAGAAAGGTAGTGTCACCATATTTTGTGGCAGAGGAGTAGTATTTAGAACAAGCTGTTGCCTAGGCTTTGGCTGGAGCTATCTGTACATACGACCTCTCAGATAAAAATCCAGGACATGACCTCCCCAACTTGTTTTTATTTTATATAGACAGACAGGCAGATGTTAACATCTGAACCAGTTAAATTGTGTCACACAGACATAAATTCGCTATGAATTATGGGTAACAGACAACCAAATGTAGATCTAAATAAATTTTTAGAATTTTATGCTTTTCAACAATACTTTTTTCTTTTATATAACTTAAAGAAGAGCAATCATCTTTGTATTTTTAAATGTCTGATTATTATTTCTAAATGTACCTCTTCTAATTAAAACATTCATTTAAAGATTTAAATTCAACGGTTTTGAAATCTGAATGTCAGGTTGGCACAATTCACTTCAGAAGCCATCTGTTCTATTGTGTGTGATATAACTGTAATAATCACCTGTTTTTTCTTTTTGTTTTTTCTTTTTGTATTGTGTTTTTTAATTTGTCTCATAGTAAAGAAAAAGTAATTGTAATAAAATTCATAGTCATTCTATGCTATCAAAAAATGTTATTGAGAGTCTGTGCTCTTAAGATCTCCAATATAAAAATCCTACTTTTATTTTATTTAGAGAAAGTAAGCAGAGAAATATATTTTTTCTTAGATGAAAGGAGGTAAAAGTCAAGGACTAATCTGCATTTGAGGATTGGTCGACATATGTGCTTGAGAAAGTATAACCTATGGGACTAGCTAGATGGATAATTATTAATTTAGTGTAACACATTTGCCTTTTCTGTTTCACTACTTTCTTTGCTAATTTGACTTGTCTTTATCGAAAGTAGCAAGATTATAAACTGAAATTTAATAGACAATAGCTTTAATGGCATCAGGTATACTAAGTTTGCATCTGAATGCTTAATTTATTGATGCTTTATGTTCCTATGCAATACCTCATTAGATCTATATGTGATATAATGGACCTAGCCCTCAGTGGTGGGAAGCTCATTTGCAGAGTGGAATGTTAGCATTAGACTGGTATCTCCAGTTTAATGATGCATAGAAAACATTAGATTTGTTTTACCTGGTCAATTGTATTCACGTGCTATTCATTCATTGTAGTAATATGCATTGTGAAGGAATGTCCCTTCACTGTTCGGCTACTTACGTTCGTTTTACATCCTGTTCCATTTTGTTTGTTTTTTTGTTCGGTTTCCGAACCGAGACCACCCCAGAGACCAATTAGAACATGGAACGTAATGTATCTTGTATGAAAAAAGAGAGAATCATTAATCGAATGGACAACACGTGGTTGGGACAATGGATGATGGCCATCTTGTCTCCCGAACGCTGCCAGTGGGACCTGGTCGTGGAGTGCCTGCAACTCATTTCGGCCAGGCACTCTCACGAACACCAGTCTCTATGGAGGTACGCTACATTCTCATTTCTATTCACCTAGATCAGGGGTCCATAAACTGTGGCCCTCCAAATATCGCTAAACTACAACTCCCACGATTCTTTGAATTACATAGATAGCCAGAGAATCATGGGAGTTGTAGTTCAGCAACATCTGGAGGGCCACCGTTTGAGGACCCCTGACCTAGATGAATGGTGTTCAGGAGTTCTAGAATACCAAACACAGGGAGCATTCTCCACAAACCAGCTTGACTTTATCTTATGTGGTTTTCATGTAAAACCCCACAAACGGAGACCAGCCAAACTTTTCATGGAACTGTTTCTGGGCTTCAACCTCATGGCAGACCAGTCAAATCCTCCCTGCCATGCCAATCACAAACTACCCAAAATGCATGGGAACCCCACAAAAGTCACATCCCTGGGTAGCCTGGATCTGGGGGAACAATATATCCGAAAATCACCCAGATCCAGGCTACCCAGTGACGTGACTTTTGTGGGGTTCCCATGCATTTTGAGGGTACATTCGGGGTGTTGTAAAATTTTAACTTTTTCTGGACCTGGAGATAATTGAGTTTAGTACATTCTCTGACTCCATTATCTCCCTGGCTCAGAGGAGGAGTTTCTTCACTGTATAAATTGAATGCCTGTTTTCCATTAAACCAGTCTTATCCCAGCATTAAGCTTTGGCTCATGTTTGGGTTATTATGCGATACCAGCGATATTGTAACCTGTGAATTATTGGCGTATGATTATTATGGAAAAGAGTGTGCATGGCGGTGATACCTTGGCAGACCGTCACATGCATACACAGTACATATACACATGCATGTATTAATAAATGTAAATTATTTTAAAGTGTTTATAAAATAAGTGTATATTAAAGAGCTTTAAATTTCATCTCAATCTAGACTTTCATTTAAAGCTCTAACTTAAATTAGGTCCATCTACCACATGTCAATAAAATCCTCAACAATAAGCTTGTGTGCCAGCAGCAATCAAGGCCAATACTCCACACACACAGCCAAATCCCATACACAATCACACTACGCTAACTCCATACATACATACCACACACAGCCAAACAACACAAACACACTCAGCCAAGCCCCACACAGAATCACACTCAGACAACCCCTGCACAATCACACAGGCCACCACATAAATCCCACTAAGTTGTATTGTTTAGGGGGAGAAGGTAGGTGTGATGAGGGATGCTCTACTTTGTTACTTGCACAGGGGCCCTGTGTTTCCTAGTTATGTCCCTATTTAGAAGGACAATGAAAGCTCGACAAGCACTATAGTATTGAAGTGGTTACAGTAAGCTAAAAGGCTGTTCGTAAATCCTTCTGTTTCTTCAGAAAAATTGCTTTCAAATAGTTTGAAGAAAAAAGCATACTTTCCAAAGGGACCCTAAACTTACCTCCCAATAGGAGAGATCATAAGAAAACCTATTGCACTTTCTTGTTATTAGCCTAAATATTTCTATTTGTACATCAGTCCTCACTGTATGATTTACTTAATATATTCAGGGGATTTGAGTTTTGGGCTACAGCTGTGCTCAATATCTGCAGCCCTTTCTGTCCAGCTGAGTCACATTAACCCTTTCAAAAGGATTAAAATAAAACTGGTTGTACTGAAAGTGCAAATAACTGCGTGACATGTCTGGATCCATCTATATCACAATACTCAAAGCTTCTTATTGCACGTTGTGAGCATGCAGTTCCATGCAAATATATAAATGGGTAATGAGGGTGTCTCCTTCAGAATTGCTGGAAAATCTTAAGTCCACCTCTAGTGGCTGTCACATTGACAAGTAAACTTTGGTCACATGACGCTGAACCCCTATAAGAAAGCACTGAATTTCATGCTTTCCTATGTGGAAGCTTAAATGTGCATTAGGTCTCACACCGGAGGTGGCCATGGCTACTCTATGACATTGGCATAGAGGCATAGAGGTGTGTAGTGCAGAGGGAGCCTTGGCACAAGAAAAAATGTAATTTAATTAATTGAAATTATATAAAGGCCTAGTGTTCCTTTAATTGAACTCTATAGGGTCAAGGACATAAACATGTATTCCTGGCCATATAGTGCTAAAAACACACCTTCTGCCCCCTTCTGCCCCTCCCCCCGCCTTCCTAATTGTTGTAAAATCTTACTTGTATATAAGTCTGCAGCTGCTGCCTCTGCCCCTGAACTGCCTGCTTGCCTGACATCATCAGAAGTGATTCCGTGAGCCAGTCACAATTCTTTCCCATAGGAGTGGCCGAGACTGTCATGGAGGCAGATCAGGAGCCAGCATAAGTCAAACACAGCCCTGGCCAATCAGCATTTCCTCATAGAGATACATTGAATCAATGCATCCATGTGAGGAAAGTTCAGTGTCTGCATGCAGAGAGTGGAGACACAGAATGCCAGCACTGCACAGTGTGCAGCACTGCCCCAGGAAGCACCACTAGTACCCATCTGAGGAGTGGCCAGTGGAGTTATTCCTAGGTTGAAAAGACAGTGTTTACTACAAAAAGCCTGATGGAATGATTCTTCTCCCGAGCTCAATTAGTTGTAGTTGTTCTGGTGACTACAGTGTCCCTTTAAAGGACCACTATAGGCACTCAGACCACTTCAGCTTAATGAAGTGGTCTGGGTGCCTGGTCCAGCTAGGGATAACCCTTTTTTTTTTTTATAAACATAGCAGTTTCAGAGAAACTGCTATGTTTATAAATAGGTTAATCCAGCCTCTAAAGCAGGGGTTCTCAATGTTAGTCCTCAGGACCCCCTACCAGTCCAGGATTTGGGGATTACCTGGGTGTGTCTCAGGTGTTTAGAAAAAGGGGAAAAAACACCTTAGACTCTAAGGTGTTTTCTTTTTCTTTTTCTAACCACCTTAGACACACCCAGGTAATCCCTAAACCCTGGACTGGTAGGGGGTCCTGAGGACTAACGTTGAGAACCCCTGCTCTAAAGTCTGTAGAGCAGTGTTTCCCAACCCAGTCCTCAAGGCACACCTACCAGTCCAGGATTTAGGGATTACCCAGTTGTGTCTAAGGTGTTTTTACAAAGAAGAAAAAAAACACCTTAGACACAACTGGGTAATCCCTAAATCCTGGACTGGTAGGTGTGCCTTGAGGACTGGGTTGGGAAACACTGCTCTAGAGCAGGGGTTCTCAACGTTAGTCTTCAGGACCCCCTAGCAGTCCAGGGTTTAGGGATTACCTGGGTGTGTCTATGGTGTTTAGAAAAAGAAAAAAAAAAAGACCTTAGAGTCTAAGGTGTTTTTTTCCCTTTTTCTAAACACCTGAGACACACCCAGGTAATCCCCAAATCCTGGACTGGTAGGGGGTCCTGAGGACTGGGTTGAGAACCCCTGCTCTAGAGACTGTCTCATTGACAGCCACTAGAGGCGTTTGCATGCTTCTCACTGTGAAAATCACAGTGAGAAGACGCAAGCGTCCATAGGAAAGCATTATGAATGCTTTCCTATGAGACTGGCTGAATGCGCGCGCAGCTCCTGCCGCGCATGCGCATTCAGCCGAAGAGGAGGAGAGGAGGAGGAGAGCTCCCCGCCCGGGGCTGGAGAAAGAGGTAAGTTTAACACCTTCCTCTCCCACGAGCCTGGCGGGAGGGGCTCCTTGAGGGTGGGGGCACCCTCAGGTCACTATAGTGCCAGGAAAACGAGTATGTTTTCCTGGCACTATAGTGATCCTTTAAGTAAATCAAATGAATGTGAATACACAATTCAAGATACTGTTTTACATGTATCGTTAAACTGAAGATGTCAGTCTTTTACTAACGTTTCAGCAATTTCATTTTGTCAGCAATAACTGCTGTCAATCAACCATTAATATAATCAAAAAGTGTGCCTAAAGTCAATCAACCAGTAGACCTCAAAATGCATTCTAAATCCAAATTCCTCAGCAGTACAGCAAATACAAAACAAATTTCAAAGTCTTCTAAGTATTGAATGCACCTTTATGCCAGCCACTGTAGGGTGATCTAGTCAAACTATTGAATCAAGTATTGGGATAAGTAGTGCAGCAGAGGTTAGTAAAATAGTCTTCTTGTTCAGGGTGTCACGTAGTGACTCACAGTTAAGAAGTGTTCAGGTTTAAATCAAATAAATACTAAATAGACTAGATATTTTATAGGGCAGTAAACTGTTTAGAAAATTCAGCATAGGTGGTATCACTTTATAAAAGTCCCTGTAAGTGGTGAAATATTTTAGTGTTTATAAAATTTTATTCTTTTTTTTTTTGTTCTTATAAACATGGTGCGGATAATACCACCTTTGCTGACTTTTTCTAGGGTTTTCTTAATCTCGTGGATGAACTTTTAAACAAAATTGTATTATGCCTTTATTCTTTATTCACATAGAGTTAAAATCAGTATGACTGAGTGCAGGTTTTAAAGTTCTCCCTGCGGTCTGATCCTCCTCCAGTACAACACTCTCCCTCACTTCAAGCAGGAGGGATGTCATGAAGGACTGGATGTGGGGGCAACATAGGCAGCATGGGGAGAACGAGGGGGCATGCTGCCATTGGTCGTCTGTTACCAGCATGCTATACGTACTAACAACAGATGCCAAATATGCACAGAATTGACAGCAAGCCCAGGACTCTCATTGCCTTCTAATTAGTGTCACCAAAGGTAGAGTTAGTCCTCATACAGCAAAATGCTTTCATTCTGTATGTGCAACATTTCAAATGGAACCACTGCACATGCAGACTTAAAGCACCATAACCTCTTCAAATCACTGAAGTGCTTATGATGCTTTGAAGGTGGTTTTTATGTTACTCACTCCCTATGTTATAGTAGTTTTCTACTTTATGCTTAATTTGAATTGCATTTAGATTTATACGCTATACTGCTAATTTGAAAGTTTTTGTACATTTTCCTGACATTTTTATGTGACGCAGTCAGTTATGCTGAAGAACACATTTAAATGTATAAATGTTTGAACATGGCAACTTTGAACCAAGATCTAAAGGCTAAATTCATGAACCTTGTCAGTATAAGCAGTACAACATGCTGTTAGTGTCACTCACTGTATCCCTGTCAACAATCTTCCTCTGACAAGGCTTTTATTTCTAACTTGCCAGTAACCTGCTGATTAGACTGTTTCTGCGCACACATTCACATCGCTGATAACTGGCAAAGTGTAATACTGAAGACTATGCAGACATTTTATTTAAAATGGTTTACAAAATATTTCACCTACACTTACAGGGTTATTCACTAAAGTGAGGATTGCAAGGAATTCAAAGTAAATTCAAATAGAATTTCAAATTTAAGGTCAAAATAGATGAACTGGAAACATTCTCCTAGTCAGCTATGCTTTCAGTACGGCTACTTTGGCCTTCAATTTCAAATTCACTTTCGGGGTTAAACTAAAAGCAGAAGACACAAAGTACTAGGGCAGGAAGCAGGTCCAATTGTAAGCTTGCTCCCTCAGTAAAATGCACAGTGTGCGGCGGCAGCAGTTTACTGCTATACTGAGTTTTTACATTTTTGTAGAGAAAAACGATTCTAACATATTGTATTGGTGTAATGTTTGTAATGTTTTTTAAATGCCTTTCTTTGTGGTTTTGCCCGGCCTGGCTGAGTCTTAAAGTGTGACTAATACTATGACTAATACTATGCCAGTGTTTTTTTCACATTGAAAATATATTTCCTTATATTTCTTCTCAGATAAATATTATTTGTTTTTTAATATGCTTCTGTGCCACTGCTTGTGTTTTGGATATTGCAAGCTTCATATCTCAGTAATATACATTGTGTGTCCCGCTATAGTTTACTGCATATGTGAACCGTGACTACACTAAGTGTGGCAGTAATAATGTTGCAGGCAGGGTACTGCATCATTTAAAGGGACAATATAGTCACCAACTAATAATGCAGTGTTTGAATTACAGCCTAGGGATAACTCCACTGGGCAGTCCTCAGAGGGCTATTGTAACGAGAATATACCCCTACACGCAGGATCCAGCTAAACAGAGGCAAATACAGAGGAGAGATACGTTTACCGGACCTTAGAATGGCCGGACTCGACGTATATGAGAGGAGACAGAGCCAGGAACAAACCGAGGTCAAGGGCACAGAGAGACAGCGTAAACTAGGACAAGCCGGGGTCTGGTACACGGAAAACAGCAAGCCGGCAAACAGTACAGATAAGGATAAAGCGAAAATGAAGTCAGAATACGAAGCCAAAGTCAATACGAGAAAACACAACTGAACACCACAAGCGCTAAAGGGAACTGAAACAGAAACCACGATAGGGCAACGAGCTAAGGGAAAAAGGTAAGTTAAATAGCTTTTAAACCAAAGTGATTGGCTCCTGTCACTTCCACACCCCCTATAGGTAATTGTATAGGGAGTGTGGTATGACAGGAGCCAATGGGAGCCTTTTGGCAATTAGGCTCCCACTGTCTCTTTAAGAGCGCGCCCGAGACTCGCGGCGCGCTCTTAGTTTCAGGCGGGACACGTGACCGCTTCACGCGGTCACTGCCCGCCTTCCATCTGAAGCAGTCGGATGAGCCGCGCGCGGCTCGTGCAGCCGCAGGACCGCGCGCGGCTTGAAGAGAGGACCGCGACCGGCCCCCTGTTAAGGTAAGTAACGCTACAGCTATTGGGGGTGCTTCCTGGGGCAGTGATGCACACTGTGCAATACCCTTGGCGCATGCAGACACTAAACTTTCCTCATAGAGATGCATTGATTCAATGCATCTCTATGAAAAAATGCTGACTGGCCAGGGCTGTGTTTGACTTGTGCTACCTCTGCCCCTGATTTGCCTCCTTGACAGTCTTAGTCATTCCTATAGGAAAGCATTGGGATTTGCTCACAGAATCACTTCTGATGATGTCAAGCAAGCAGGCATATCAGGATCAGAGGCAGCTGCAGACTTAAAAACAAGTACAATTTTACTAAATTTAGAGAGGCAAGGGAGAGCAAGGGATGGTGGTTTTAACACTACGGGGTCAGGAATACATGTTTGTGTTCCTGACCCTACAGTGTTCCTTGAAGATGAAGAATCAGTTTGCCTTAAGTTGTTTCTTTAACTGTGTGCTATGCAAATGTTGAAGCACTGTGCACTGCAATGTATTGTGTGCTCTATGAAGTGCATTCAAACACAATATAATAATAGTGGTTAATCCATCAAGCAGCATCCCATTTCTCAAAACATACATAAGGCAGGGTAAAACCACTTAATTGACATGCAGTTAAAACTACTTTAATGACATGCAGTTAAAAAAAAAATGGTGGGAGCAAAGCCAGCAGCAGGATCATGCCAGTCTTCAACATAATTTAGAAAGGGACAGCTGGACTCCTTTTCATTCCAGTCAAGTGTCCACCAGCCCACTCCAGGGCCATGTCAAAACAGAAACCTTACAAAATCACCCGCCTGATTGCCCAACTTTATGGAATGCTCCAACTGGTCAACATGCCTTGAAAGCAGGCTGCTGGCAGCCCACAGTGACTGGGTGGTGCTGGTGGAGCAGGTCAAACCTTACTGCAAGCCATACATGAGCTTTGCAGGAGGATTCCTGGAAATTTCAACTGTAGTGTGAGTGGTAGCCAACACTTGAGGGAGGAGCAAGATAAAAGAGGGCTTTACACACACACTGTCTTCAACAGGATGTCAGCATGCGGTGAAACTCCACTATAGACATGGTGAAAATATTTTTTTTTTTTTTTAAAAGAGGCAAGCAGGGTCTTCCCACCACTCCTTTGGCATTGACTGTCCACTAGGGAGCACGGGTGTCTGGGGGGGGTGGCGGGGGGGGCATTTTGCCCTTCTCTCCCACAGGTACCCATGCAGGATAACCTGAAGTGGGTACTTTGTTTAATAACTTTTAAGAAAAAAAAAAGGCTGTACTTACAGTTTGTGCTCAGCCACACTCCACATGAAGCAGCTGTTCATTCCCGAGAGTGGGCTGCAATAGAGAGCAGGGATAGACTTTTATCACTGCTCCCTCCTACCTGCAGGTGGCGCCAAACTGAGCTGAGCTCTGCCACACTACACAAGAGCAGGTAGGGAGAGAATAACTATACAATTGGGAATGAACAGACAGGGAGAATATATGGAGAAAGGGACAGAATGAGGGTGGGAGAGGGGGGAATATGGAGAAATATGAAGGTGGGTGTAGGGAGTTATTAGAAAATGGACACATGGAAAATATGGAGAATGCAAACATGGAGAATATGAAGAAAGTTGAAGGTGTGTATGAGAGATGGGGCACAAGTTGGGGGTTGGGACACAAGGTTTTTTTTTAATTTTCTTTCTTTATTATTATTGTTAGTAGTAGTACTACTGGCATTTATACGGTGTGGGAAGTGTTGTGGGTGCAATCTGGTACTGTTGGTAATTTTTGGTGCTGTGAGTGTCTCATAATTCTGTAGTAACCGCTGTGTATGCTACCTTCTGATGTGGCAATAGCTTTGTGTGCAATTTGGTGCTGTGCATGCCACCTATTGCTGTGGCCAAATGTAACACGAAATGTAGATTACACGTTTTTATTTTTTTCATTCAGTGATAGTGCCTTGATCATGATACAATACTTAAATCAGACAATGTCAACTTGATTCTTCTAATAAGATTTTGCATCAGGTTTCTTAACTCTTTGCCTGCTTGTGCTTCATGTGATAATGACTATGTCCCTGACACTGTCAAAATGGGGCAAAGCATGGATGTCATTACAATTATGCCCCCTCCTCCCCAAAATTATTTCTGCGGACGCCCATGCCTGGGAGTGAGTATTAGAGAGTAATATGGCAGCTAGTGTCAGTACTTCCATTTAGAGATATGGAGAAAGTTTGAACCACAGTAATGCTAGTCTGTGATAGGTTGTCCACCTGGTTCATGCACCTCACAAAAACAAACAAAAAAAATACATTACTCCTGCTGCTAAGGTTGCTATCCCTTTTTCAAATGTCTTTATTGTAGTGGTTTTGCCCTGCCTGAACAAGTCTTACGGTTCCTGCTACCTCCTAGTCTACTTTCAGTTCCTTTATTTTATCTGAAAAGGAAGCTAGATAAATATACTCACATTGTATGTACATGGTGCTTTAAGAAAGAAAATTGTATATATCTAAAACACTGTATTATTAACTAATCTGGTAATTACTTGGACCTATAATTTCATAAACTGCTTTAGCAGTGAACATTAAATCCCAGCATGTATCAATGAGTTTTTTATACTATGTATCTTATCAGAGATGGTATAGTAACTGTGATGTGTATCAACATGCCTCTCTGTTATTTTACTTTCGAATTTTCAATTTTTGGGTGAATTTCTAGCAACTCGTGAATAATGCTGCTGGTCTTCTGAGATGAGAAGAATCTGTCTGTTTATGAGACCACTGTGGCATAACTAGCAATTGAAATATATATTCATAGACAGGAGTAAAAAGATAGAGGAAAAAAATGTTTCTAGACTTCGGCACAAAAGAAAAATTTGAGTCAGCCGAAACCGAAACAATTTGTCCAAAAAAAAATAAAAATAAACATATATATATATGTATATATATTTGTGTAAGGGGCAAATAGCCGTATATGGAGTAAGGATCCAGCATAAGCGTAGAATAGTATAAAGGGAGCAAGTCGGTTGTGGTGTGCCTAGACCGACGATACGGTAGGCCTGTAAATAAAAAGGGGCCCACCAAGGAGTAAGAAAGTAAAGTAAATGGAAAGAAAAGAGAAAGTGTTGAAATGAGGAGTGGGTGGGAGGGTCATTCTGATGTTGACCTCAAGCGATATGAGTCAGGTAAGCGGTGTCCCTTATATAGGGGAGTGAATTAATTTAAGCCCCTCCCACAAATACAGGCCAAACGGCCTTAATACTTGTGTAAGGGGCAAATAGCCGTATATGGAGTAAGGATCCAGCATAAGCGTAGGATAGTATAAAGGGAGCAAGTCGGTTGTGGTGTGCCGAGACCGACGATACGGTAGGCCTGTAAATAAAGAGGGCAAAAATGAATAATCAAAGATTTAATACAGTCAACAAATATATACATATTAACCAGACATTTCCTTAAATGCATTACAGTATTTAATTCCTGGAAGGATTTTGAAGGTAGGAATCTAGGACCGAAAGTGGACACCATTTGTTGTGGGTAGGATAGTATGTTATCTCTACTGTTGGTGCGTGTTGACTCATTTCGGAATGTGGTAGAGCCAATAGGTAATGATATAGTTTACGTACGTGGGATCGTTAAAGACAATGATCTGTCTGAGTGGTGGTGATGGTAGTGGATTCTCTGGCCTGAGAAAGGCATAAAAGGAAATGTGCATGGCTGGTAATGGCCGACTTGGTAGTATAATTGAATGGTTGTAGATCTAATAGGTCTGATAAGGATGAAAAGTTGGATGGCTATTGGTAATCTCTGAGAGGAACGTGGGGGAACGGATTCCTGAAAACCTCTGAGTATTTTCTTGTCTGGTATGATAGCATGAAATTATGGTAGTTTTGGCCATAGGTTATCCTGTGTTGTTGAATGCCTGTAAAATATATAATTAATGGTGTGTGAGATAGTTTAAGTTTAAGGTGGCAAAAAGAAGAAAAACCTAGGAGAAATGTTATGACACAGGTTGAGCTATGTCGTGTTCCAATGAGATTCTTAAAGCCCGGTGAAAAGCTGTGTTATGCGCTCTACAAGTATGGGACGAAAGTGCTAGGTGGGATAGTGCATGCTATGCTAGATGAGTATGTCTAATCCATGATTTTGTCTCTGGGAACGAAAGAGTGGACGTGACTCTATGCGTGGCTGTAGGAAGGGTCTGATGAACATGCCTGGAATATAAATGAGACAATTGTCGGCAGGGATGTATACCCCCGCCTGGTACATGAAAGTAAAAGAAATGTGATAAGTTGCCAACCAAGTGAGTTCCCCAGAAATATCATGACCTTATGGATGAGTAGTGGCATTTGTTGATGATATGACATGTGCTTAGTTGTCTGAGTAACAATGGATTGATGATCCTGACCATGATTTACCCCATGCCACAAACCATGCCATGGCCAACAGCTCCAAAGTAATGGTTCCTGGTAGATCGCTGCCAAACCCGTGGTAGACGCCGCGTCTGAACATCTGGTTGGGCAAGTGTCAGACAATCCTGGAAGGAACATGCTTTTACCATGCCAAGTGGTTAAGAAATTCCAACATGTGCAGGTCTGCTGTTGCTGGGGTGTCTAGGGACATCCTCTGATCGTCATGTTGGAAGTGTGGAAAAAAGGGGAAAGTACT